TTAAGATGAGATCTCAGGCAGAGACAGGAAGCCAGGAAGCGGTTTCTTCAGGAATCTCCAAGGTCCAGACCTTTCCCAACTGTACCTCATCCTCACCTTGGCACAGAGCTGCAACTAGAGCAGACAGACAGGCACAGGGGCCCCACAAGATGGGGACAGGGGCAAAAACAGGGCTTCTGAGGGTCCCTGTAGGGCAGACTGTGAATTGTGTAAAAAGGTCTGGCTTTCTGTTCAATTGCCCCTCCGTGTCTGATGACTTCAGGGCAGCTGTGCCAAAAATGTGATCACAGGCAGAAGAGAAATTGGTCGGGGGGGCAGGCCACAGGGCAGGTGAGAACCCCACATCTTCTTTAGAGAAGGAAACAAAAATCATAAGGTATTAGGTGCCTTTACTTCTAGGGGGCGCTGATTCCATGCATCAGTGGAAAAATAAAACAAAGATGCAGAAGAGCCCCAGAGAGGTTCACTGGTCCGGCTGAAGGTCAGGTTAGGGAGCAGCACAGTTAAAATGAAGTGAAACACAAAAAGGATTCAAATGCCTCGGCGACTTAGTGACACTAATATTTGAACATTTGAAGCTAATTTCTGGATGAACAGTGGTTGAGGTGCTCAGAGAGACTCTGAAGAGAGACTTAGAGAGACTCTGCAGGCACGTGAATCATAAGACAAAAGAGGAATGACATATTTTGCCTGCTTACTTAGTACCACTGTTTTTCTGCCCTTGATTAAGGAGCTCAGTTTGTTTTTTTAAATTTATTGTGTTTTTTCGTGAGGAAGATTGGCCCTGAGCTAACATTTGTGCCACTTCTCCTCTATTTTGTACGTGGGTCGCCACCACAGCACGGCTTGATCCATGACCAGGATCTGAACCTGCAAACCCCGGGCCACCAAAGCAGAGTACGTGAACTTAACCACTACACCACTAGGCTGGCCCCAAGGAGCTGTTATTTAACAAATGTCTGTGAGCACCCTCCAAGGGTCTAGCCTGTCTGGGCTGTGAGCAGGAAGGTGGCAGCCCAGCAAACAAAGGTGGGTCCCCACAGGTCCCTGGTTGTATCCTCTTGTGTATGTTGTCCAATCTCTCCAGTTCTTCATCCTCCACCAGTAAAATGGGGGTAATTACATGCCCTCTACCTGGCCGACAGAGAGATGGTTCCCAGCAGAGTACATACTCAACAGCTGAACCTATGTGACTCAGGCAATTTTAGGCTGAAGGGAGAGTGACCAGGACAATCTCATGGATCCTCCTCTGTAGACCCTAGCTCTTGAGAAACCTGTTTCACTGAAAATACCTGAACCTATTCCCAGGAGTGGGTCGGGCAACAAAACCGAAGCCACAGACCAGCAGCCCCCACCAGGACCAGGGAACAGGGGTTCCAGCCTGGGAGGCCACCCCAGCATGATCCAGCAAAGGTGAAACCCCGACGGAGTCTTCCCAAATAGGAGAAGGTCTGGAGGCTCCCAATTAGAGCCAGGTGCAGGAGCCAGACTACCTGGGTTTAAGTCTAGCTCCATGGGGACTTGTTCTGGGACCCCATAGCAGGTCACTAAGTCTTGATTTCTTTTTCTAAATAATCATGGGAGCAGAACCAGGCTTAGACCCGGGCAAGAGGGGTCCCTGCCCTGGTCCATGCTGGTCTCTTCTGGCCATGACCCTTTCCACAGGGTAAGGGGTCTTCAGGGGCAAAAAGACCTAAGGTTGAGAAAGAATCAAAAGTAAACAGGGGATTTGGGGACACTGAAACCATTCTGTATGCTGCCGTAAGGGTGGATACATGTCATTATACATTTGTCAAAATGCATAGAATGTCCAACACCAAGAGTGAACCCTAATGTAAACTATGGACATTGGGTGATGATGACGCGTCAATGTTGGTTCACCAGTTGTGACAAATGTACCACTCTGGTGGGGGATGTTGATGGTGGAGGCTTTATGTATGTGGGGGCAGGCGGTATATGGCAAAATCTCTGTTCCTTCTGCTGTGAACATAAAACTGCTCTACAAAATTAAGTTTATTAATTAAAAGAATGAGAGACAGAGAGAAGGAGCGGGAGCAGGAAAGGACCAAGGGGAAAACAGCCAGGCCACGATCAGAGAGGAACAGGAGAGGGAAGATGTGGGAACTTCTGCTGGGGGCCCTAAATTCCGAACAGGCTTCACCTTCCTGTCTCTGTGTGGCCTGGCTCCCTCACGTTCCCCTCAGATTCTGTGAATGGGTATCCTTGCTCTATGCATCCTCATTCTCCTCATCCTTCACTTGAGCAAGCGTGAGAGTATTTCCTGCCAAAACATTGCTGAATACACCATCCTGGGCCTGCCTTCTTCCAGGGTCATCCAGGGACCCACAGCCCCAGCAGTGACGTCTGGGTGTCTGGGCTGCTTTCTTAAAATATAAATATTTATGAGATGATGGTATCTTCATTTGGATTCCCTAGACAGATCAATAATTAATATATTTACTAAAAACCAGACATGGCCTCATCCGAGTCCCATCCAAGGCAGGCTCTATGCTTCCCAGCAACCCCACTCAACTTTCCAAAAATGCATCACTCCTCTGCAGAAACATTTGAGATTCCTGCTCCATTATTTTCTGCCTCTTCCTTTGTTTTAATGTCACTTAATGTCAAAAAGCATTTCGGCAGAACCTGCTGCTTTCATGGTCACGTGCTAGAATACTAGAAAGGGAGATTTAAATGTCTGGGGAGCTCACACAGGACACCAGATGTGTCAACAGTCAGCACTTCCTCCTGTCCCAGGTCAGGTCGTCCCCAGTTCCAACAACAGCTATTTCCAACCTTCATCCTCCTCCTCATACCTTCCACAACCCCACTCCTCACCTCAACTTCAAAAAGGATCTCCTGTTTCAGAAAATAAGGGAAGTCTTGTTGCAATGCTCTCAACAGATTCAGAACTTATAGGATCATTTTGGCCCCTCACCTCCTCCCGAGTTCCTTTCCCTGACATAGCAAAGGTATCTGCAGCCAGGCCTTGTCTTGAGGCTTCCCCTCCATCTGGGAGGAGGGGCATTCGTCTTTCTCCCCAAGGCCCTCCCCTCCTCTGCTCCCGCTGTATGAATGGTCCCCTCTCCTTCCTGGCTCATTAATCTCTCTTTTTCCATTGTCTTTCTCCTGATTGTATAAAACATTCTGAAAATACTTCACCCTCCATTCTCACTTCAGCCTCTGCCTTTGGACTACGATCCCCACCATCCCACCAAGACAGCTCCTGCTGAGGTCACTAGTGGCTCCTCATTGCTAAATCCAACCCCATGTTCCACTTCTTACCTTAAAGAACCTCTTGGAAGAATTTGGCAACACTCATCACTTCCTTTTAAATTTTGTGCTATACTCTGTACTCTTTGGCTTCCATGATGCCATTCCTTGCTATTTTTCCTTCTACCTCAGAGGTTTTTCCCTCCCACGGTCTTTATAGGCTCATTCTTGGATGCTGGTAACCCTCCTCACCTGAACTCCAAGGCGTTACCTCCTCTCTTCACATTCAAGGTACTTCTCTTGGGGATGACATCAACTTTACAGCTTTAACTAGTACTTAGACATTGACAAATCCCAAGTCTAAATGCTCAGTCTAGACCTCTCCCCTGAGTTTTAATGGGAATGTGCAACAGTTGGACAGCTCCATGTAAATTTCCCACAGGCAACTCAGTGTTAACATGTTCCCAACTCAACTCTACCATCTTGTCTCCAACCTTGTAGCCCCTGTTGTGGTCCCTAGCTCAGTGAATGCTATCACTATCCTCCCAGTTAGATCTGGTCACTACATCTAATAAATTACCCCTCAACATCTCTTAAGTTAGTCTCTTCCTCTTTATTTCCACTATAGCCATTAACTTATTTCCAATCCTCATGGTTTCTCATTGGGATCCTTCCAATGATCAATTTGTTCATGGCTTCAGTTTTCCTTCTTATATTTTACCTCTTTTTCTAATTTTTCCACAATGGGAATTTATTAATAATACATTCAGCACAAATAATAAAACATTGTTTTGTTTTGTTTTTTTGCTGAGGAATATTGGCCCTGAGCTAACGTCTGTGCCAATCTTCCTCTATTTTGTATGTGGGTTGCTGCCACAGCACAGCTGCTGATGAGCAGTATAGGTCCCTGCCCGTGAACTAAACTCAGGCCACTGAAGCAGAGCACACCAAACTTAACCACTAGGCCACGGGGCCAGCCCCTAAAACACTGTTTTTAAATAATGTCCATGCAGCATTCCTGGCCAACAGCTCATGGTTATCCAAATCTGTGAGCAGGCTGGACCAGCTTATGAAACTGGACACTCTATTCAGGCCCACAGAGTACGTTCCCATCTTCCCATATTATGTGCTGTTACCTGTGTCACTTAGCATGCCCATTTGAGCAGAAGATAATTCTCAGACAGGACAGCAGGAAACAGAGGAAGGAATCCAAGATTCATGAGTCAAGGTTCAAACCCTACTTCTGTTACCGAGCTGTGTGACACATACACATATCTGAGCCTCAGTCTCCTTACTGAGGACATGGAGATAATATCATCTATGTCACACGCCTATGAAGGATCAATAAGATGTCTTATGTGATAGCATTCTAGCATGGCTCTTCCAAGAGTAAGCTCGGAACCACGGATGGTGACAGAAAAATATCTATTACTACTTCACAGCCTAATTCCAAAAATATTTCTTCCCTTCTGCTCCAATGTATCTTTTCCTTAAATTACTTCTATTTTTGTATAGACTGATCTTGTCTCCCCCGCTTGTTAGAAAAGGTGGAATCATGCCTTCCTCCTCAGCATTCCCTCTACAGAGGTTCTTGGACAGTCTATGTGCAGAGATCACTTAACAAATGTGCACAGTAACTCAGGAGGGCTTAACAAGGGTCTGTGCTCAGTCCTCCCACCAAACCCAATACTTCTGAGGCTACGAAAACAGACAAAGATTCTTTAAAAGGAAGAGACAAGAGGGGCATGCGGGTGCGGGGGATGAGGGCAGGGCACGGAGCATCTTACCTTTGCACTGCAAACCCTGCCGCAAGAGGCCCCAGAGCAAGGACCCACAGTGGTCGCAGAAGGTGGGGACCTTGTAGTTGTGGATACCGAACTTGTGGGGCATGTTGACACTGAACCGCTGGGAGCCGACCTGCAGGGACGGCAAAACACAGGGTCACCGCCAAGCTCCTTCGCACGCAGGAGTGCTTATCATTGGGACTCCTACAGAACTTCCTTCCCAGAAGGCACGGTCCTTGTAGGCAGCTGGCCCTAGCTTGGATCTGAAAGCTTCCCTGAGAAAGAGGGTGGGCCTGCCCCTGGGCCTTTGTGCCTGATGCCCTTGATCCATTCTCTGCTGCTCTGTTTGACTTTGCGAGGCCAGGCATCTAGCCCCCGCAGTCCCCTTCAGGACTTCAGGCCTCTAACTCTGACAGCACACAGCACTCAATGTGCACCTCACACTTCGACCATTTTGACCATTAATGAGATGCCACCATGTGCCTTCAATGCTGTTTTGTGCATGGAAGCCTCGCCGGGGCAGTCTTCTGGCAGCTCGATGGTGGATGCAGGATTCTGTAAAGACCTGAGAACCCAGCACAGCCGTGGAAACTGTAGGTTATCAGGTAGGACAAACAACAATTGTGATGCAGAGTGCTAATCCAGTGTGGTGATCACTGAGGGCACTAAGGTCTCGGTGCTGACCACAGGCCAGGCACCACCATCTCAGTTCAGCCTCATCACCACCCTATGGGGCAGGCACCATCATTAGCCTGAGTTTGCTGACGAGGCAATTAAGGCACAGTGAGATTAAGAAACGTGCCTAGAAGAAGATGAGAGGCAGCGCCAGGATTCAAGGCCCACGAGTCTGAATTGAGAGCCCAGGCTTTTAAAGCACTATGCTGCCACTTACTGATTATTTAAAAGGGATAAAGAGGAGGTGGCAAGATGGATGAGGAGGGGACAGGGAAAAGAAGTCCAGGCATCCCATCTATAGGCCCGGGTCTGCCACGAACTACCTGTAAGGTCTCAGGCAAGTTTCCTGACTTCCTGGGGCCTCTGATCCCTCATGAGGCAAATGAGGATGGCATCCCCTATGCCACCTCATGTCATAGGATTGTGGGGTCAATGAGACACAAGGGGCGAAAGAGGCAGGAAACATTAGGTGTGCCACAGAAGCAAGGGGTCATCAGGGGTCTTCTTCATCCCTCCACAGAGGTACTCTCCACCATGTCTCTACTGGAGCAGCCGCACAAACCAGGTCCCTCTCAGAACAGGCAGGGGACCATCACCTGGGACCCTACAGCCTGGGGAGAAAGTTGCTCTTGCTGCTGTGGGAATCAGGGAGTGGAAAACATGCAGCAAAGAAGCTGTGCTTGGCTCACTGCTGACTGATGAGTGAAAGGTCATAGGAGACAAAGCAGGGGGAATGAGAACTGGACACGGACATGGATGTGGATGCGGACTTGAACACAAACACGGAGGCATACCTGCGCACACACCCACGCTCTGAGGGTCAGTCGACTTCATAACAAGTTCCCTATCACCCAGCAACAAGGAATGGCCGATCCTTCCACTGGACCAGAATTTTACTGATCCCTGCTTGAGATGCATGGGCTATCAGTTAGGGCCTTGCCCTTGTACAAGATTCCCAGATTTACTGAAAACAATTGTGCCCAACCCTCCTGGGATTCACCGCTTAAGTGTGCCTATTTGTGAGTATAGTCATGTCAACTCTACATCCACCTGTTCACCCCGAAGGGCATAGGAGATCACTGTGCTCACTTTATTCCCACAAATGCTGAAGATATGGTGGATCTGTCCTGAGAATGGAGTCGTGGTCTCGCAGGAGCTGCCTCATAGGGACATGGATGACAGAGAAAGGTGGCGAAGTGTCCCAGGTGACTAGGAGTGTCAGTCTGTGGCGGGGAGAGCTGTGTGACCCTCAGTCGTGACCACTAAGGACTCCAGGATATCACAGAACAGTGGGAGGAGGATGAAGGAGCACACACGAGCATGCCACAGAATCAGACAGACTGCGAAACAAACACGAAGGCCACCTGCACGGAGGCGCACACATGCACACACACTCCAACTGCGGAAGGCTCACAAACAGAGGGGTGATGAGACCAACAGGGAGGACACCGGAGGAAGAAAAGGGCAGAAAGACAGAACTGGAAGATTAAAAATGAAGAGGGAGCAAAGAAAAGAAGTAAGGTGACACAAAGAGAGAGCATTCCTTGGGTACCACACCTGAAAGTGTGGGGAGGGGTCTGAGTGGTAAGTGCTAAGACACAGAGACACAAGACAGGGTGAGTGCCTCCACCAAGAGCTCTCAGTGCAAAAGTCCCAAGGAGCCCATCGGCAGAGCACCTTTTAATAGAAAGACATTAGACGTCTGGTGTTTAGAGCTACATGTGTTTGGCGTGTGTGTGTATGTATGATGCGTGTGTGTACATGCATCATGCTGCAGGTGGTTACACAAAGGAGTGATCTCAAAGGTTGGTCTCCAGCAGTGCTGCACCCAGCAGAGGGCACGTCCATCACCCTCATGGGCCAGGGATACGCCAGTGCTAAAGGAGACTGGCCTCAGTGAGCACCAGGATGGGTAACCAATTCCACCAGACTAAGAAACCTGAAGCCCCCTTCCTCAGTCCCCGGCAATTTATCTCCCTTGGGATGCATGCCAAGTTTGGGAACACATCTCATTGGTAACTTCTTTTCACTGCTCAATATGCCAGGAAAGACAGTCAGGAGAACGAGAGATTAAGCGGGGTCTGGGCATTTCAAATCTCAAACCCCTAATCTGCATGGCCTGGACTCACATGGACTCCCTCCAAGGAGGTGTGAAAGAGCTTTAGAAACCTGCAGAGGTTCACAGTCGATGAGACCCAGGAGATCCTTGAGAGCAGGAATCGTGTATTCCTCTTTGCTTCCTGGCATACAGGAAGTGCTTAACACATGCTCAATGGAATGTCCATAGGAGGAAACAAAGACAGAGAGCAAGCAAGCCATCTCTTTCTTTCCTTTACTTGTAGTAATGAGGCAACAACATACTTTGGGTTAAGATCCCAGACCAGGTATCAGGTGCCCCAGATGATGGTGACTTGCGATTTCAACCATGACAGTAGATCCCCTGCAAATAACTGTTGCTTTGGGCTCTCTGCCCTTCAGGGACCCGGAATGTTCACTCTAAGCCTTGTCCCTTCCTGCTTTCCAGAGATGGGGTGGAAGCAAAGGGAAAGAAAAGTGGGAAATGCTCTGCATGTCAAGATGTCATTTGGTTGAATTATTTTTAAGAAATAGGTAGAAAGTCTCCATAAGTCACTCCTTTTAGAAGCCAAATTATAAATCCATTTGATTATAAACCCAGCTGATTATAAACCCACCTAGGGCCTCTCTCTCTAACCCCTAATTCTAATGGCCTATGATTACACAATATTTATTAATTTCACCAAGAGTTAAAAGCATGCCTTTGAAATCAACTGTTGAAAACACAGATAACACCTACACTTACAGTCACACAGTCATCTCCCCCCAAAAAGTTTCATCTCTTGGTGGTACCACTCTTCTCCCAATCGCTTGGTTAGGAGAAACCTGGCTTCATCATCGAATTTCCTGCTTCCTTATCCCTAGCAACTTCCCTAACAGTCAATCTGACACAAGTTTCTAAGATTGAGAGACAACGTGGTGCAGTGGGCTCAGACTCTGGAACAGACTGCCTGGGTTTGAACGTGGCTCTTCCACACACTAGCTGTGTGATTGGGGCAAGTTAAATTGACTACTCTATGCTTCTACTCTCTCTGTTGTAAAATGAACATGGTAACAACATTGATCTCATTAAGGTTGTTAGCGGATTCAATAATATATGATAAGGTGCTTAAACTGGGGCATGGTAAGTTCCCAATGAATGCCAGCTATTACTATTATTGTGGTCATTTCAGCCTCCTAAGTGTTTCTTGGATTTGCTAATTCCACTCCACTCTCCCATCACCTCATAAAGACAAGGTTCCTGCTTGTGTGTTGTGTCTCTCTCACTGTTTACAAGCTGCGTGGAGCCATTGACACATCAGTTAGCCACTTCGCTGTTCCGATGAGATAATGACATAAAAGAACTCACATTTTCCTCATGGGCTTTAGCTTGGGGATCACACAGCTCTTGGCATAATATCCACACACATAAAACTGACTTTGAGCCGCGCTCATTCTGTAGATTGTGCCTCATGCTGGAAGGCCACGGACAACTCCCTGAAGTTTTGATCGACACAACAAAGAAGGCAACAAGATCTCAGAGAGACAAGGGTTTTCTTGGGGTCCACAGAGGAGGCAGTGGAGGGTGGGGATGGCAGTGAAGAAAGCCCAGTATTTCAATGTTATAAATATTTACCTCGTCGGGAGTTTCCTGTTTCTTTAATCCAGCACACTTCGTAATGATGAGCTCATGGCATCGCTTGTGGACCACGCAAGTGCAAACTGCAAAGAGCAAAAAACGGAAAGGCTGAGCAGCAAACGGGGGAAGAAAGGTTCCATCCCAAAATTTAATCAGGTCTCGGCGGAGGGACGAGGGGAGCCATGCCCCTTCTGTCACTGAGTCTTAATGTCATATCCTACCTGAAGCCCTTTATGCAGTCCCTTCAAAGCACTCTGCCATCAGAGCCATTAGGGTTTCCTAAATGCTCTGGAGAAGAGTGGACCATTTATATTCAAAGGGCGTCAGCAGTTCTCTAGTTCCAGGAATACCGATCAATGTTCTTGCTTCTATATGCCAACGTCAGGGAATAATTTCCCTTCCGTGAAGCACTGTCTACTAACAGCATCGCAGCTGTCTTGTGCTCCACTCAGCATCATGCCGGGGTGGGCTGGTGTGATAGAGAGGCCCGCAGTGGGCAAATGGATGCTCTGTGGCACAGAAGTTCTTAAGCTTTTTGATATGGTTGTGCCCTTCCGCGCCAAACTATGAAATTTCTGTTTAACTTAATATCTCCATAAGAGGTGGCCTGTAGCTCTGTCTTCAGTGTCACGAGATAGTGTGGGCAGTGGGTAGCTGAAGAGGTAAGTAACTATTTGCTTACATGCTACTCCAAGGATACAGCAATATCCAATACAGCCGATCCAAGTCCCTCATGGGCGAGACCTAAGTTAACCAGTGGCTGTGTGAGGAGACAGAACAGTCTCCCAGCTCCAACCACAGAGAAACCTTGACACAACCACGTCACATATCCACCCTCCAATTCTGGACAACTCAAGCTTGCATTTGTAGTCAATTAACTGGAAAAACAAACAAACCAATCTTCAACACCTTCAAGTGAGTGTTAAATGTTTGCAAGCTAATGATTCCACAGCAGAGACAAAAGTAGAATCAGCAAGGACTATTCAGTGATTCTGAATAAAATGAGCAGGTGCGGTAGCTCCTTCAGGGAGCAAGAGGGTAAGGGAGCTGAGAACACACAGAACCCAGCGCAGGACACAGGAGACCTTCAAAGGGCCTCTAACGGAAGCACCCTGTTTCCCAGGAAAGATGAAAGTGCTACCTGCTCCAGCCGGCATGCCAAGGGCTGAGACCCCGGGGACACCTGGACACAGGTGGCGCCCACAAGGTACTCCCATTCATCTGCTCCCACATAGGTATGTGGGAGTTATGGCCAGACATGAACCAAGAAAAGCAGGGCCCGCCTCTCAGAGAGGGAGCATAAGCATGCAAACTGTGTGGAGCCTCTAAATGTCGTCAAACCCAACACACATCTCCTATAAGCTTTAGGGATCTACATCCACCCGTGGGCCCCAAGGAGTTAGTTCATACAATATGGCTTACCTTGACATTGGTATCCCTGCTTTCCTATGACACCCCTGAAAAGAAGAACACAACCCTTTAAGAAAATAAATTTTAGTAGGTCAAAAGCATACAAAGCCACCCAATTCTGGCCACCCCCAACAATGCACCAAGTAGGCTGGAGACCCCCTAGCAGGGTGATTTCACCCCCACTTGCAGGATGCCTTAGAATGACCTGTTCAGAAGAACACAGAGGGCAGCCCCAGCGCTTGGAATGGGTGCAGGGTTTGGTGAGTCTCAGGCCTGGTTTCCTATACAAAAGGCCATTCCAGTGGGGCCAGTAGTGTTCTGCAAAGCCACAAGGGCCGCCTGCTCTCAGCAGGCCTCAGCTAGGCCAACGTGCCCTTCTTTGTGGATAATCCTGGAGGAGGCAGGCATGCTCCCCGGGTGGTCCAGAAACAGTCAAGGGTTATGGGTCAGTCTGTGGCCAGGACTGGGAGTTCAGTCCACCATCTGGGTGAAGGCCAATGTCAGAGGATCCTTCTCTGGCCAGAGTAGGGTCTCCTGGGGTAGGTTTAGGGTCGGCACGGATGCAGAACAATCCAGCACACTAGGCTGTGCCCTGAGTCAGCGCACCAATGGACAACTGATCAGGGAGCTCCGAGCTCCGCGGGAGGAGCCAGAAGACACTGGGCTACACCTCAAGAAACCTAGAGCTCAGTGGTATTCGCCATGACCTTAGACGAGACCTGAATCTGGAAGCCTGAGCTTTCAGGGTCTATTCCCCCCAAACACGCAATTCATGACGGAAACACAGAAAATGAAGGTCAGGGTTGAGTCAGACCTGAGAATGAGACGTGCCTGAGGGTGGGAGTGGGGCGTTACTTCTGCTCCAGTCAGGGTGACTTTGCTCTGAGCTGTGTCACCTCAGATGTCTATGTCAACCTCAGTCACTAGCTCTGGAACACCATGAGGATAAGACAAGCTGTTCCTGGAAAGCTTGGGGATCCAGGGGGTCCTCAGAGCACAATTCACCCATCCCCCAGCTGGGTTCACGCTGCAGTTTGGCCTTACTCTCTCTCCCCCACCAGATCCACATGTGCTGGCAAACTCCACGTCAGCTTCAAAGAGCTCAGAGAGGTTGCTGGAAAGGCTGGTGGGAGGTCAGCAAAAGCATGAGCTTCTAGTCATGCTCACCAGGGGTCGACTCAGGCCTTGGATACTTTCTAGCCAGAGGACCGTAGACTAGTCTCGTTTTCGTTGCTGAGCCTCAGTACTGTCGTTACTGGAATGGGGTTCATAATTCAGAGCCCATAGGACACTGGGCAGATTTAATTCGATATTTCCAGTGCCTAAGAGAGAACCTGGCACATGGTAGGAATTCATTAAAAGTCCTCCTTGAATCCCCAAGCCCAGGGCTTCCTATCTTCTTCACTTCCCCAAAAGGCCTACTACTTGCTTATCTCTGCCTATCAAAATCCTAGTCATCATGAAAGGAGAAATGCCACCTACTCCGGGAAGCCTTCCCTGAGCACTCCAGCCAACACTGCTCTCTCACTCCTCTGAAATCCCAGCATCCTCGCAGCACCAGTGTTAGAACAGTTACTAAAAACTGTTTGAATTATAAACATTGGCAACCGAGTATTTTTTTAACTTTATCATGGAAAAATTCCAATGTACACAAGAGTAGAGAGATGAATATAATGGACCCTTATGTCCGCATCACCAGCGCCAACAATGATCAATAGACGGCCAGTCTTGTTGCATCTCTACCTCTAGCCCCTCTTTCCTCCTTCCAGCTTATGTTTTTACTAAATCCCAGACATCACATCATTTTATTTGTAAATAATTCATTTTCTCTCTCTAAAAGATAGGGATTCTTTTTTTAAAAAAACACAATCACAATACCATTATTGGTTATACAATCTTAACCCCTTAAAAATGATATATGATATGATCTCAAATATAAAGTCACTAGGAACCATTTCTTCTTTCCATTTACCCTCCTAGCACCACTCACTCACTTAGCCTTCCAGAAAAGTCTTCTGCAATCAAATAGGGAAGAAATAAAGCACATCAGCACTTTTGACATAAGGTTTCTAATCCCTCGATGCATCCCAACTTCTCGCCACAGGGAGGGCATCACTAGACGGTCCCAGGAGAGGGGGCCTTACCAGATAAAATCTCTGCAGTGGGAGCAGTAGGTGGGCTGCCGAAGGTAGGTGGCCATGAACTTGTGGCCGTTGACCTGGTGGACCCTGCGCCTGACGGCCCCCTGCCGCTTCCTGGGCCGCATGCGCTCCCTGAACACGCGCTCTTCATTGTCTTTAGGGGCTGGGGAAGGACAAGAGCAGAGGAGAGAACACAGTCTGGGTTAGCGCATCTTGAAAGTGACCGCGGGCGGGAGAGCTATGCCATCCTCCAGTGCCTCGTGGTAGGAGGTGGCATGGGGGGCAGCCTTCACTGGTGGAGAGACTCCGGGCTCTGAGGAGCCTCCCTCAGCTGGAGCAGCGAGCACCATATGAGGTGGCAAGGGCCGGACTGTGCATGTGGCGCTCCATTCCTCCCCACAGCAGCTGCGCTTTGCAAAGGGAGTGGGGTCAAAAGGCTCAAGGTTCTAAACTTAATGCAACTTCTGAGCAGCATGACCTCAGACGGCCAGTATTTTCTCACCCTGAGCCTGTGCGGGCACGGCCCTCTGTAACTGGGGATAATAGTGCCGACCCCGTGGGGCACTGTCAGGAGTCAATGGTGTGACTTCCCTCCACAGCCAGCTGCCCGGCACAGAGAAGCAGCTGCCTAATAAACCTGACTTTTCTTCCTTCTCCCTCTTATCTAAACTAGGACAACCAAGAGCCTTTTCCCAAAGGACAAAAGGACAGGGAAATATAACACTGCAAATGCAGACAGTTTCCAGAAGGCTCAAGACCCACCACCATGGGCTTTAAGACCCCCTTGGAGACAAAAAGTCCTTCCTCATTTCTTCCTTGCCTCCACCTCAAAGACTGCCCTAAGCCTAAGAACACTCTAGAAAGGGACTACTCGATGACAACAAAAACAATAATGATTGTTATGAACTGAATGTTTGTGTTTCCCCAAAATTCATATGTTGAAGCCTTAACCCCCAGTGTGGTGGTATTTGGAGGTGGGGCCTTTGGGAGGTGATTAAGTTTAGATGCGGTCATGAGGGTGGGCCCTCGTGATGGGATTATGAGAGGAAGAGACCTGATTGTGTTCTCCTTCTCTGCCACGTGAGGACACAGCGAGAAGGTGGCCTTCTGAAAGCCAGGAAGAGAGTCCTCACAGAACCCAACCACGCCGGCATCTTCATCTTGGACTTCCAGCTTCTAGAACTGTGAGGAAAAATTCTGCTATTTAAGCCGCCCGATCTACGGTACTTTGTTATGGCAGCCCAAGGAGACCAACACAGGGATGAGAACAGCTAACGTTTATCGGGCTTACCCTGTGGCAGGTGCTATGCTAAATGCGTTACATATAATGACAAAATGAACCTTCACAACAACCCCACCTGAAGGGTACCGCTATTAGCCCCATTTTGCAGGTGTGCAAACTGAGGGATAGAGAGTTTTAACACAGCTATTAAATGGTGGAGCCCAGATTCTAACCCAGAGAGTGGGGAAGAAGCCAAGGTCCCACTGTCCACACACTGCCCTGAGGGACAGCCCACTCTCCCTATGGCAGGTCCCAGAGCTCTCACTGAGTGACTCTCATTATGGAGGAGTTGAGCTGCCTATGGCTTCCCCGAGGGTAGAGGAGGCAGGCTATAGGTCTCCTGCCAGGCTCCTGGCACTCTCCTGCAGGCCTGGGAAGGTGGCCTGCAGGGCACAGCTTAAAATGCACTGGGAAGGCTCCACGTCCCCAAATCCCGGATGCACCAGCCGGTGCCTGACATCCCACCATAAGTGTCGTTCCTCTGGGAGAAGAAGCTTTGCTCCTCCTGGACTTCTTTGAAGATAAGGGTCCCTGCCCCGGAGGGCACATATGTGAGCCAAACGGCAGTTTAATCCAAGGTCATCTTGTTAGTCCCGAGAGGGTAGGGGTAGAGAGAGAAAGTAAAACTGAAGGAGGAGAAAGACAAGAATGGGAGCAAATGCCCAGCATGTGCTTTTAGAGAGAAGGAGCCTCCAAGCAAACAGGAGGAGCTGTTGACTGAGAGGCAGAGGACGCAGAGCTCGGGGCTCCCAGGCTGCATCCTCAGCCTGGCCCTTCATCACCCAGATGCGGGTCTGCTTGACTGGCGCTTATTGCTTCAAAAAGTCTCTGAGACTGACTGCCTTCTGGGTATAGAAGCTCACCACCTCCTACCCTGCACAATCTAGGACCGAGGCCCGGCTGACCAAATTCTCATGGGGAGATCCCGGTTCTGTTTTAACAGAGAGACGTGTTACACACACACACATGCGTGCAGAAATACGGCCATCATCACTCAATTGTGCAATTATAGGTAATTTTCACATCTGCTTCATACTTTTCACTAAATTTAGAATACTATTTTTATAAGCTGGAAAAAAATGTGGTAATCTAAAAAACAAATCTATTCAGTTGTTATTTCTTGCTAAAAAGCTGATCCACAAAAATCCAAACCCAAACCCCCAGTCCTGGGCAGCCTGGGCCAGGGGATGGGAATTCTCTTTGTAAAAGGTCTCCTTCAACTCCTTTCACAGAAGGACTCGCCGCGAAGTATATTTGAACAGTAAGCCAGCTTCCTAATGCATTTAAGACGCAACTCGATCTACAAATCTCTCAAATTTCCTAGTCATTTTGATGCTAGAAAATTGTATTTTCAGTTAAAATGGTGGTGAGGCCAATCTAGTTTTCTCAAGGGAGCAATTCTGTAATAGGGGTTCTAGGAGCCCTCCAGGGCCTTATTTCTCAACTTTTTACAGAAATGACCAGCAACACGATCAATGTTCTAAACTGTATTTACATTGATTGAACAGGTAAATATAGAAACCAATTAATTTAACTCCATTTACTTTTAAAGACCTCTTGGTGGGGTACACTGACACTTGGAGAGAAGCTGCTTAAAGTTTATGAGGGTGCAGGGCGGGGAGGGTCTAGGGTGCAGGTTAGACAGAGAGCCAAGGAGGACTCCTGAGAAGTTGGGGTCTATCTAGTGAACTTCCCCAGAGGGTCTGTTACTCCCGCACCGAAGCACATCCACACGCCTTCTAAGTCAGGTTTTCTGTCAAAGAAGTGGAGAAACAGAAGACCACAGGCATGGAAGAACACAGATGAACTTCACGCTCCCTGGGACGCCCAGGTGCAAGGCTGAGGACAGGCAGGAGAAGGGGGTGGGCCCCCCTACTGTGAAAACACCCCGCTCCACATTCCTCTGCACAGGGGAGCCGAGGGTCAGGCCAGGCCGGAGCGTCTTAGTCCCTGTCGCCCACATGCAGAGAAAGAACAGCCCAGATCATGTCAGGAGGGGAGCCACAGGGTGCCCCCAGAGAATCTCCCTTCTGGGGTCACCAGTAGAAAAGGATCCATCAGCTCTTCCCGCTGCTGAGAAGGGTCTCTATTAAAATGCAGCTCGAGTGGTAGGGGTAACACATGGGGTGTGGGTGTGTGTATGAGTGAGTGTGTGGTGTGAATGTGACAGAATATATTTATAAATGTGCATATGTGTTTTATCAATTAACATATTATGTATTAAATTAATATATATTAATATATTATATATTAAATGCATAATTTATAGAATATATACTATATAGTATAGAACAATATATTAACATATTTATATTAGCATAATATAATTAAAATAATTATTACCTTATGATTACAATATAATTATATTAATAACCATATATTATGTATAATAGACAATATATGATATACACATATATAGTTTTGCTGAACCATTTGAAAGTTGCAGACATAGTGACCTTTCACCTCTAAATATTTCAGCCTTTATCTCCTAAGAGCAAAGAAATTCTCCTACATAACTACAATATCACAGTCAAGAAATTTAACATTGATTTAACATTATCTAATATAATACTTCATATTCCAATTTCCCTGATTGTCCCCAAAATGTATAGTTGATGTTGTTTTTAAAATTTTAATTTTAAATTAAAACTTAATTCAGCGCTCATGCACTGCATTTGGTTGCCATGTCTCTTTTAGAATCCCTGGTCTAGAACAGTCTTCTTGACTTTTTTCCTCTTTATGACACGTTTATAAAAAGTCCAGATGTTGTCTTACGGAATGTTTCACAATCTGGATTTGTTTGTTTCCTCCTGATTAGTTTCTGATTAAATGGCAAGAATACCACAGAGGTCCGTGTATCAACGCATCCAAATATATCCATCAAGATCCCTAGAGATAACTTTGTAAGTGACATGAACATGAAACCTGTAGGAGAAATAGAAAATATTCACTCTTATTAAGCATTTTTTAAATGCAAAGCAGAGCAGTCTTGACATACCACTGACACCTAACACCTAATAAAGAGACAAATTTGTTTTAAAATGGTATCATCCACTATTGGCAAGGCTGCTATGAAACTGATTTATTCATTCACTGCAAGAGGCAATATAACACAACATAGCATTTTCAGATAGCAATATTATAATACATAGCAAACACCACAAAGAGATTCACATGTTTTGATTTGGCAATTCCTTAGGAATTTAAGTCAGTAATTAAGCAGAAACTAAAGGCTATATACTTATGACTTACAGATGTTCCCCATTGCATATCTATATTGGCCAACAAATAGAAATAACTTGATTGTCTAACATTAGGAGAATTGTCTAATGAATTATATTAAGTATATAGCAATTTTTAAATGGTGAGGAAATGTGATCTAATATTGTGAAAAAATGTACAACCCTGTGTGAAACACATCTGCAGGTTGAAGGTAACATAAAAGAATTATTATATGACTTTTAAAAGCAGCGCTCGCTGCCTAAAGCATTAGGTAGTGGAAGGGTCCCTCAGGCTGCGGGAGTGGGGGCTACTCGGCATGAACAAGGAGGAGAGGGCACCAGATGGCAGGGAGACCGGGCGAGACAGGACAAACTTTATCAGCTCCCCAGCTGCCTGTGGTTATGAACTGAGTTGAGTGACCTGACCTGCTCCCTACACCTCTGAGTGTCTCTGAAGGACGCTCACTGCTGTCACTAGATGCACTCGGCCACATCCAGCTGGTGTGGCTCTTCTTTGCTGCAGCTTCTGAGGCAAAACCAAGGCAAAATCCTGCCCTTTCCAGACCCCTCGCTTTATGGCTGCATCTACCACACAGCAGAAGGGGTGACTCCGAGTCAGGGAGAGGCCAACACAAAGCTCAATAACTTCTGTGAAACTTT